ACCCTCTGCTGTATCTAAGCACCGTCCCTGCTGACAACACAAGCAAACTCCTCTCCCTCATGGCTCCCTCCCTGGGTCAGTGGGCACAGGGCCCTGCAGGCCTGGCCGGGCCGTGGGACCCCACAGATGGATGCAGCTGCAAGGTGACAGCTGGCTTTACTGCAGCTTCACTTCTTTTTAACACACAAAGCAACACAGAGTGCTATTTCAGTCCCAGGTCCACTCAGCACACCCAAGCAGAGCTGCCACCCAGCGTGCTGGCAGCAAAATGCCTTCAGGCTGCGTTTGTGTAAATTGCAGTGTGGCTGAGTGTATGTAATTGATGTTAAATTTCTGCAATTCCCCCACAAAGCGGAGGCCATCAGTCAACACTCGTGGCCGTGTCATGAGTCAAGTAGATGCCCTACAAACACGTGCAAGAATCCATTTGTTCACCTGCAGTGGCATAAACCCAAAGGGACATCTAACAACTCCTGCTCCCTCGAGACACAGGAGCTTTCTCCTGGTGTGAAAGTGCACAAAGCAGCTTCTTTTCAACAGCCAAAAGTTTGATGGAACGTGTTACCACGGTGGAGGGGATCACACGCACACATCTGGGCTAAAACCTCACAGCAAGGAGCAACCTGGGGTCACAGTGTCCGAGTGTTCATCTCTGGAAAACAGAGCCTAACAAGGCACACAGCAATGCAGGTCAGACACCCCTGCCCCAGGCTGAGGGTCACATTTTTGCCTGGCTAAGAGAGCTTTGTAATTTAACCTTTGCCTGATTTCACACATGACCGGTTCTTGAAAAAAAAAAAAAAAATTACAGCAGAACAACTGTGAAAAGAGAAGTACGGTGCCTCTGGCCTTGACTGCTTGCATTGAGAAGACCAGACAGGAGGAGGCTGGGCTTCAGCACAATCACCTCACCCTCACTGTGGACACACTGCCACAGAGACATGTTTCGTTGCCACAAAAATTTCATAGGAACCAGGCATAGGGGACCCATAAGAAAGAGGAGATGCCACTGCCTCATCCTTCTGTGGGGTTGCCATTGCTGCACTGCACCTTTGCTGTGCACCTCAGCCTGGCCCTTCCGAATTCCAAGTATTCTTCCTCCTTTAAGGACATTCAGAACTGCACAGAGCTTAGAGCTAGCAGTTCACCCTGTCCGCATCACGCAGTTTTTCAGTAAAATCACAGCAACCTCACACAAGTGCTTGTGTTCATCAGCCAAATGCTGCCTTGACATCTCCTCCAGTCCCAGGACCCAGTCTCCTCCTGCTCCCCATGCCATTCTTGCCACATTTTGGCACTGTGATGACAGCTGTGACATTAGTGGCCCAGGTAAAGGCAGCCAGAGCAGCAGAAGAAATAGGAGTGGCCACCAAAAAATGAAAAAACCACAGCAGTGACCAGGGCAGACTGGAGCAGCACCAGTGCTATGGTGTGTGTATACCTCACCTTGATGACAGGAGGCAGAGCAGACAGCTGTGTGCCCCATAACACTGAATTTAAGTAATTCTATGATTAAAAATAAGGTGCAGCTAAACAGCTGTGTAGACACACAATGAGCACATTAGGCAACACTGCACATTTTAAGATTGGGGAAATTATAGACAGTAAAGGATGCTTTCCCCCACCCCACCCCCATAATATGAAAGGGAAAGAAACCAGGAGGACAGCATGGATGCCGTTGATGTTTCTGGGAGACCTCGAGGCTGGGAGCTGAGGAGTGGTTGGCAGCACGCTGTGTGTGTTGGGGAGATAAGCCAGGAGCAGAGCCCTGCAGGCAGCTGATAGCACAATTCCCAGCTCAAAGCTCGTAGGGCTGAGGATGAGGAACAGGGAAAGATCTCCCAGAGAGAACAGCTTGTGATGCTGAGTGGTTCTGAAATCTGTGCAAAGCGCCCTGAGCCTACTAAATAAATCTCGTCACCAAGATCGTCTCATCCCTACAGACAATTGTTTTGCTCTGAATGGAGAGAAGCATCCCCCAGTTTTAAGCCCAAATCAATATGAATGGTAATTTAGTTTGTAATTAAGCTATTGCTTACAACCCTAACTGTTTAAAAGCCCTTAAGTTTGTTCTTGAGAACATCATCAATTTTGCACTGCCTCACCCTACATTATCGATAGCAGGACATGGATTTCATAAAAATCAATGATTAGTTTTAAAACAAAACAGCACTCATGAACTGGCTGGAGGTTTACATAGGACATAGATAATATACGGGACCTATACAGATTTGTCAGCCACTTAAAAGAAAAATCACTTTAGTGTGAAATTTTGCAGTAAAATTAAGCATCACTGTTCAGAGCTCAGGGTGGTGATTTCCAGGTAGCTTTCTTCAGAGGGCATTGTACAGTTATTGTGTGTTATTCCAGCCTAGAAAATCCAACCAAACATAATGCCCCTTCATATAATGCCCCCCACACTCTTCTGCAAGAGATTTTATAAACTGTTCAGATGAAAATGCACCAAAGTAATATTTTTATCCTATTCTACAATGTTATCAGAGATGCTCAGAGGGAGAGAGATACTTTCAGGCTTGCAATGACGTTTATAATCAGAAACAAAACTCAGCCCTTCCACTTGCCCATCCCAGCCCACGGCTCCCCTGCTTTGCACCAGTGCTGCTGGGCATGCAGTTATTCTCAGCTCTGCTTCTTTCCCTTTTCCTTTTCCTTGGTATTTCTGAGTTTTTCAAGGGAAGCCACAACTCAAACCATTCATGCCTTAGTCCTGCAGGGCCACCAGCTCTGCCCTGCTGACACTGAGAACATGGGGAGCTGGGGAAAGGCTTTGGCCAGCACAAGGAATAACACTTCTCCTCTGCATCAGCAAGCTCACCTCCTGCTCACCACCCACAAAAGAGACAGAGATGGAACCCAGCCAGCCCCTCGGTCCTGCAAAGCATTCCAAACCCTCCACTGTCAATAAAATCAGGAAAAAGAGTCCCCAAGCCCAAGCAGGGCCACTTCCCTCCACCAGCTGGGCAGCGGAGGGGCTTTACATTGCAGAAGGAGCACAGGCTCATTTCATATAATAGCCCTGTGATTTAGATATCAAGCCTAGGCCAATGAGGGCTCTGGAGCAGTAATCACTGCTTTTTCAGACTAGCACAGAAACCCTCCTGTAATTCCCTCTTCCTAGCACATTATCTTTAATCATAGGCATAATAGGGATTCAATTTGAGTCCTCGGCTGCATTTTGTTCCTTATTATTCACAGTGCTGCATTTTCTTCTGCAATAAACAATTTTCCCCCCATTCCATTTTGCATTGATCTACCTCAAAGTTCAAAGAGAATCTTTTAATGTTCTTACATCCCTGCGTGGAAGCTCCTGGCCAGTAATAAAGACAGAAACCGAGGTCTTTTACCCAGGAAATTGAATTGCACAAAAAAACCTGCCAGCAGAGTGCCCTCTTTCTTTGTTCTCTTTCAGATAACATCCCTGGAAATGTGACAATTATTTACAGTCATTTGCTAACATCTTTTACATCCAAAGCCTACCACCAAGGGTTGCTCTGCCTGGACACTGCTGGCCAGCAGATGCCTGGTCCTCCCCATTCCCACAGGAACACATCCTCCTCCATAGTTTGGTATCAGTCTATGCTCCATCTCCTCACTCCCCCCAGCACTTTCTGAACAAGTAGCCTCTTTAAGAAATACCAGCAGGCTCAACTGTTTAAAAAGAAAGATGCCAAAATGCAAAATTAACACAGGCTGTGTAAATACACAGCTTTTCCTTAATTGACTCTTTAAGTGCACCTGTGTAGATGCCAGCTCCACAGCAATGTATCAGCTGAAAGGTCTACAGCCCCCTAGAGGCATCTGGGCTAACATTTCATAAATTACAACCATGTTTTCCTTTTCTGTTAATATTTTCATTCCAAAGGTCATTTAATGCAAACACACACTCACAAAGCACAGGAAGGTGAAGGAAGCCGCTTCCATCAGCAAATATAAAATCTTAGTGCAAAGATGTATCTATCTATCAGCTTGCTCACTCACCTGGAAACAGTCTGTGACCATCGGGGCAGTGAGGACAGGTGGGAGCCACTTTTCCAGCCACACATTTTGCTGCTGAAGACATCAAATCTCCTCTGCTAAGCTGAGTGCTCAAACAGAACACCTGCAGACCACAGGTTCCTGGGCCACTGATGCTGCAGATTGCCTCAGTAAGGCACCACCGATGTGGGGTGCCCAGTCCCTGCCAGCCTGCTGCCCGAGCAGCTCTGGGATGAAGGGAGTGTTATTTATGCACTCAGACCTGAGAGCTTTTGATGAGGGATCCATGAACGGCTAACTCACTTCCACAGAGATGTGAGGAACACAGCGTTATGTCTTGCTACTGTCATATTAGGCAGAGAAGGTTTATGGGCCCCAACATAGAGGGTGTCAGAAGCTTAATATTAATTAAATAGCAGATTTAAGGTTATTGCTCATAATCACAGCTGTGATCTGAATTATTGCTTGATGATATTCCGCTTTTGTTTGCTTGCTGCTTTTGATTGATTATTTGCATTTGCTGGTTTATAACAGGCATGTATTGCTTTGGACAGAGGAATCTTTTTTGATTCTAACTGCATTACATCCTCTGGTCAGATGATGGATTGGACTTCTGCACAGACCATAAACAGCAGCCCGCTCTTGCTAGCGCGATATGTATCTTATATTCCATATTCGCTGTTCAGTGTATCCTGTATTCAATCATCCCTATATTCATTTATCCTGATATTATTATTATTAGCCTTGGGGAACTTGTTTTATAGGCTATTTAGTTTGAATTAAGCATGTGCGTCAGTCACTTCTTGTTTCTAAAAATACAGAAGATAAACGATGGGATTTATGCCCCAATTCAGCTTTGGACTCGTGTCTCTCCATACCTATAAGTCTTATTGTTATTGCTATTCCTAACAAAATAACAAAACCTTCCACACCCATTTCCACGGGCTTTAGTAGATTCATTAGGCAGACGAAGAAAAAGCAATTTCCAACTAATAACTCTCACGTCTAATCAGAGGTGTTCTCCAAAGAAAATGGGCTTGTCCCATTTTCCCCCTGTAGGGTTCAGCAACACCTCCCAAAAAGAAATTCTAGTACTGACTGAGATATTGACATTTTAGCCACATTTATCTCTATTTCAGGCTCTGAGTACACTGAGAAACTCGTTGAGTGTTTTATTATTTTTAAGTTAATGTGGTCATCTAAGAACAAGAGAATATGCAGACCCTAACTATGGGTAAACATCTGATCATTCTTTCACTCAGCCTAAACAAGGTCAAATCAGTGCACTCAGTGTAAACTGAACATCCATAACCTCAGATGACCACGTGCACAAGGTACAGTGAAACATTCAGATGTATAATGAGTCGTTCCCTCCTTCTTCTCTCAAAGCAGCCTCAACTTCAAACTTGATCCCCTTCCCGTAAGACTCGTGGCACTCAGATGACACACTCCTTGGTTTGCTCCCCATCATCCCCGTGCTTTTCCTCCCACACATGGCTCACAGGAACACCAAAGGGGCACTCTTAAGCCATCAGCATCCTTTACGACAGAGGGGAGTGAGCTGTAGCCTGATGATCTACACCCATTTGGAGGAGCAGGAGTGAGTCATCATCTCCTATTTTTCCTATTTTTGGCCTCAAGCCCACACATCATCTAACATAACTGAAAGCAGGGAGGCCACGTTGCAGGCACAGCACTGGGAAAGTCACTGCTCTGCTCACGCAGAGGGTACTACTCAGCCCCAGTGATTTCCTTACCATGACTCACACAAGTGTTTTTTTGTTGTTTTTTTCCAGGTGCTATTCATTCTGGGTATTGTTTTGTGTTTTTGTGGCTTTTTGCTTCGAGTTTCCGACTCACACTGAAAATCACGGTGATGCACTTACAGTGCACCCACTTTTGGAGGCGTTTACTGTACGCAGCGTGACAGCCCTGTGGCTCACACAGCTGAAGCCAGCATGGCTTTGTTACATACCACAGGACAAAGCCGTGCATTAGTCAGCCACAGATCTACAGGATGAGCAGCCTAAAGCACAGCAGAGGATTATGAAACTATTTTGTCACATCTGCACTGGAAGATTAAAAGCTGTCAAATGATTATAGTCTTGGAAATGGGTTCTCTAGAAAAGTGAAGATTGCAAACAGCTGGGACTGCATCATCAGAGCTGAGCAGCTAATGCTGGCAGACTATCTGCTTTCTCAGCTATTTGTATGTATTATCCAGCCACCTGACCAGACACTCTGGTTTGCAGGGAAGCCTTAAATCAGGTACAATTTTCAGACAGAAATTTTCCTCAGCTTGTGGTATGTTTCAGACAGGCTATTTGGGAAGGAAGGACAGACAAAGTCATATGTCTTAAAATCTGGAGTGAAAGCACTGGTGATCCAGAACGTGAACTGAAAGCACTGTGAACAATCTAGATGACAATTCTTGCTCTCTGTGACTCCATAAGCAAAATGACCCCTCACACACACAACATTCCTTTAAATCTAAGGAATTAAAAAGCCAAAAGGCAGTCACCAATGCATGTGCCTGCTGCAGCAGCAGGCATCCCTGCATGACTACCCTGGGACTCGGTCAGTGCCCTGCAGCCAAACACATCAAGGGATGATTCAGAAATGGCTCTGAGAGCAGAGATCCTCACAGGCAGGGCTGCGGGAGGACCAGGCATCGCATTTTCTCCATTTAATCCTTGCTAGGGCAAGCAAGCTGTAGGACTTGGTTTATTACAGTAGTTCTAAAAATAATCCTTTGACCATCAAAGCAGCAGTATTTGTCACTGTGTTGCGCATTTGCATTCTACTGTAGGTATTTACACGTGCATTAATTCACTCAGTCATGGATATCACAGGCTTTAGGACACGGAGGAAGAGAAGGGGAGCAGGCAGAAGGGTGAAGATATTTTTATGCCTGATCTGTCTTAGAAGGACAGGATTTAGGGCATAATTTTTTTTAAAGAAACCAGTTTTGATCTCAGAAAGCCTTGCTGAAATGTTACGGCACTGAGAGATACCATTATTAGGTACCCTTGCTCGTAGGGCAATGATACACCAAGCATCACAACCAGAATACAGTCGAACATAAAAAGCATTATTTGGGATAACAGTGATTGAAATCACAAACTAGCAGTCATGGATCTTGACAGCATTTCTCACATATTTTTCAGTTTGCTTCATCTGTTATCCACACCATCACTGAAGAAAGGACCCCCATAACTCCAGCATCACCCAGTCCAGCTGGCACTGAAGCCCATTTCGATCAAGCAAGCCCATACATAAGTTCATCAACGGGTTGAAGATTCCAGACTGTGGTGCAGATCTGTCACCTGGATACGGTGAGGACTGTCACAGAAACCTGGTCAGAAATACGGCACAGAGCAGTGAGGGCAGATCCTCGCACATTTCTGGAGTAAAACTGTTTGAAAGGAATGATTGTCACCACAGTTTTCAAAAGAAGGATGTCACAGGAAGGCAGCGGATTTCTTTGCAGCCTCCTTGTTAGAATAATTAGGAGAAACTATCAGATCTACAACAACCCAGGGCCTGCAGCCTGCATTCATTTGAAATACACAAACACATAAAACATCTCATGAATTCCTGGGGATTCACAGTGTGAGCCCTCCAATAAGTGAGCACTCAGGAGCGTTATGAAAAAAAAGTTAGGACTCTTAAATAACTCTTCATGCTGGGCACCTGATTTGTAACTGTTGTGTTCCACCAAACAAAAGGCAGAACCACCTCTGCCTCCAGCCTTCACAGCTGGTTCTGAACAAATGACAAACAACTTACCTGCGCAATTATTCGCAGAGATATCCAACAGTTAGGTGTTAAATATTAGCAAGTTGGATAACACTTTAATTAAGGTTAATATCCTGAGTAGCAAGAACTATTTGTGGTATTTCATATTCCATAGGGAAAAGATGGGGCTATTTTCCACCAAGGAATAATCTGAAAGGAAGCTTCTCCAACAGAAGCCAGTTTCCACAACCTGTACCTTAATGACAATCTGGTCCTTCCATTTTTTTTGGAAATTTTTTACAATTTGGACTTGCTACCTTGAACACGGTGGACTTTCCTGGGCTGTAGAGCCCCACATTTCTTTAAGTGGAGCAGGATACAAAGCAATTCAGCTTCATTCTTCAGCGTGTTCTGCACTAACTCAAAAACACCAACATCTGCACTTGAATAAACAGAAGCAGGAGACAGGTGGATGCTGTTACACATTCCAGTTGACCTGCTCAGTGTCCCACATGGCTTGTAGGTGTTTCCAACAAATAGTATTAGCTCACTTTGTTTGCTACAAGATACCGATTTCCAATATTTTTAACAAGTCCTTTGAAACATACTGCAGTGCTTGCATTTACTGCTTGAATAGGTCCGAGGTCTCAGGTGCAAAGCACTGCCTGGGGTTATACACCTCTCCACCAGGAACTTGATTAAAGAAAAAAATCCAGACTGATACACAGAACAATCTTCCTACTACAAGAAACAAAGCAATTTGGACAAGAGATTATCAGAGTTCTCTCTTCTTTGCCATGTACACCTCCAAACCTTCACTTCTTGCCAATGATTCAGTGGGGAAATATTGATCTATAAGAAAATCAAGTTTTTCAAATGAGCCTCTGATTGTGTGGACTATAAGCTGTGTTATTTCTTGCACTTGCACATGTTCTTTTCTTTGAAATGAGCTCTCCTATGCCAAATCTGCCACCCTGCCTTATTTATTTTTGACCCGTCACAGTTTAGAAACACAGCTTAAAATAAATGAGCCTGAATGCCACTGGCTCTAGAGTTATTAAACTGCCTGGCATTGAGGAAATTGCTTTTCATAAACATCCTGAGCCCTTCTGATTTTTTCTTAAAGTGTTTAATACAGTGTAAGTCCAAGTTAATCTGAATCAGTCTGCAGACTGAATTGCTAATGAGAAGGGAAGATATATTATGGTTCAATATTGAAAGGGAGAAGTTAAAGGATCGAGCAGAAGAAAGAAAGGAGTTTCATAACACACAAGCCACATTTTTTCTGCCAATACAGATGTTAAGAGGTAGCTAGCATGAGGACAGCGTGCTGCCCTGCATTGAGTGAATGCAGGGGCATTAAATCCAGAAAAATATGACAGGGATGTCCACACAGGTCTCAGCAGCCCAGCTCCTCTTTCAGGATGGAGATATTTCAGCCCCATAGCCACCATCACCCAACGTACACCAAAGCTGATGCCTGAAAAATCAATGACATTCCCAGACCTCACTCTCATTCTGAGTCCCAAGCAGGACAAAGAGATGAAAACCAGCCGACAAAAAAAAATAAAACAACAACAACACAACAAACCAATCTGAGATTGTTCCACCTTCATTCAACCTGTGAGTGTGCACCTACACGATGCCAAAACAAAGCCAACACCACCCGCCATTGCATCGATGAGATGTAAAATCTAGTGAATCCCTCACCGGTAATGAATTCAATGTTTACAGTGCCTCTAAATTGAGGAAAATGAGTATTTCTTCTTGCTCTGGAGCAGCAGGGCCGCAGCCTGTCGGGTTGCTACGCAACCGCGGCCTGCACCAGGCTGATAACCCCGCCTGACTGCTCCTCGGAACAAAGCCTGGGTAATGAAGCTTTCACATGCTCTTGGCAATGCCTTTGACGGCTCAGTGAGGGTTTTCCTTGCACCAATGTGACAGTTACAGCAGCCACTCGATGTCCCCTCCAGCCACAGACGTCTCCGAAGCTGGACGGAGGGAACGCCCAATGGGTAGCGATGGGCAGGATGGGAGAAGAGTGGCAAAATGCCTGATGCAGAAAGCCAGCATCCAAAATGGAGGGCAGTCATGCACACCGTGAAACATGGCCTTCAAATGAGGAACCATCAGCTTTATAGATGAAGCCAGGCTTCCTCTGGTGCCCACTGACCCATGGGACATAACACCCTTATCACACCACAGCTGCCTGTGCATGTACAGGTAGAGCTCAGTCAGAATATGTTCAATGGAAACTACCTTACATAGCACATATAAGCAAACCCCTTTTCTGCTGGATGAGTGGGTGTAGCAAGAACCATCACCAGAAGGAGTACCAGTTTCCCCACATCCATGCAACTTTCCATCCAGCAGCCAGCCGATGCTGGAGCAACCCCATTTTGTAACTGGAGCAGTCTCACCTTCCATCATTGCCAGACCCAGCCTTCACAAAGTCAATCACAGGAATATTTCTCAAAGATGGCACTTAGCTGCCCTCTCCTTCTATGTACTAATGGCCAGAGCTGTTTTCTTCTTCCAGTGCACACCCACCATTTACCAGCTGGTTTCACAGGACAGCAGAACACAGGAGTGCAGAGCATTTCCTTGGCTCTCCAGACCCTTGTCCATTGTAACAGAGTTACGTTAAATACGTGCATGGATGCCACACAACCCCAGAGTGATAAGGCAGCTGGGATGGGCTGACAACAGACAGCATAAACTTGCCAAAGCACCTAGACATACCTCAGAAGCTTAAATAGGGACAAATCCCTGCAGCTGACTTTCTAGACAGCACAGTGACTCCAAGCATTTGCTTTCATTAGGAAACAACTGTGAATCAAATCACAAAGCCCGGTGACTGTCCTGCACCCTGGACTATCTCAGCTCACTTGTGATGTGCCAGGGGCAGCCTCACCAAAACCCAGGGCAAACCTGCAGCTGCAGAAGAGCTCTTTGAATTCCTATCCAAAGAGAGCAACTACAAGCAGGTACAGTTACCTAATGGAAGAGCTGGGGATGACTTCTGCTGGTATAACATCACTGGGAGGAAGGGTGTGAAGGTCAGGCATGGGAGAGCACCCACAGAATCCAGCCCAGCCCTGTTGAGGTTTGGGTTTAAGAAAACAACCCACCTGGCCATGCAGCCGCGATTGCCTCACTGGGCAGAGCTACAGAGAGCACAGCATGAGTGCTTTTTTTGTCAGAGACAAAATTATCAAACGAGAGACAATTATGTGACATTATCATTGAAAGCAGTGTGTGAAAAAGCTTTGAGCCTGTGTATCCTGAAGTCTGCAAACCTCTTTCTCTACCTTTGTACTAAATATGTCTCATTTAGCCCGTTTGTTCTGTCCCAGCCAGCAGAGTGAAAGTAGGGTTGATCGATTTGTTAATTACAGTAATTTTATCTTAAATACAGACAGCTGAGTGTTCATCAAGTCACAAATTCGCCTGTTAGAGAGAGACCTCCCCCCAGCTAAATAATTAGGGATAATAGTAAGTGGCTCATAATAAATGCAACCCACAACAACGTGCTCAGAGCACAGCGCTGAACCAGGAGGGCTATTAGGGAACCCCAGGTCTATTTCTCCTGTTGAAGAAAACAATGCAATATCTTTAATTGTCTCTCTTGAAACCCTGGGACAGCTCTGCTGGTTTGTTATAAGTAAAAAGCAATTATTCCACTTTTTGACTGCCTCTCGTGTCCAGATAATGGCTTAAAATTGAGCCATCAGCATAGATGATCAGCAGCATAGCATCTTTCTCTGCTTTCAGTGACAAGGCAAATACAAATTGTTGAGAAAAGAGGTAACACAGGTGGGTTACACACCACCCCACTTCTTGATGCTGTTAAAATTCCGAATGAGGATCAAAATATTCAGTTTCAGATATATGGGTCTTTCTCCTACATCTAAGAACACTTTCTGATCACAAACAAGAAAAATTTTGCCCAAATCTCTTTCCCATCAGAACCATAAACCAATTGTAATCTCTGCACATAAACCAAACCCTGACTGCCAGAGCCTGAGCCTGTACTTACACAGCAAGAACTAGCCCTAGAATCACAAATCAGGGGATATAGCAGTGCTCTTTCTCCTCTGTAACAGTCACTGTGCTAGCACACGTCCACCTACAACCACATTCACAGCCAGACTCAGCTGCCAGCAAGTTTTTCACTTGCATGATTTACTCACCAGCTGCAAGACCCTGCTGCATTAAGGTAAAGTGGAGGGGCTCCCAACATCCTACTTCAACACCCATGGAGGTTGCTTATGCTTCCTCTCTGGTCAAAAGCAGAACCTGTGCTCCTTAGACTTCATTTGCAAGGTAGCAAATACTGGAGGCAACAGAAGTCTGCCGTTGGTTTTCAGCCAGCAAAGGTTAGGGAAGCACTGGAAAAGGTTTCTATTGTCCAGAACAAGGTTTGGGATGAGCAAAGCAGGAACAGCAGAACTCACATGCATTCATGTAGCCTCCAAAGCCAAGGGTGGGAAGGGAGAACAACCAAAAACCCAACAACAAAAAGAAACACACTACCAGAGGTACAGCTACATCTTCCATTCCTATGCACTTTCTTCCTCTTTCCCTCTTTTATCCCCTAGTTGTTGTTTACCTCTTCAGAATATACCATCCAGACAAGTAAGGACAAGACACGTGGCAGCATCCATCATCACTTCAGATTTCATTCCAAGAGCTAAAGAAAAATGGATTTTTATCACTTCTCACTGTTTTTACTTTCTCTTAGATGGAGTTCAATGACAAAACCAAGTGGGAAACAGTTCTCTATGTAATATCTCAAAACATTCACCTATGGCCTTAGTTCTTTCTCCAGGGAGAAGGCAGCAAGAATCGGGTGAAGCCTTCTAGGAAATAGGAGCTGCCCTACAGGGGGACTTCAGCCCCACAAGTCAGGGAGAAGAGTCAGGACATTGGTGGTGCGCCCAAGAGCAGAGAGCTCCAAGCACACATCCATTGCCCCATTGGTTAGAAATACAGTGACTACATGCACATTTCAAGGCTAAGATGCGGCCATGCGCTGTAAGAACCTGAATTATCACCATGTCACTATAAACACATCCAACTGTGTCTGTCTCCAATCTGGGCGCTAGCTTGCACACGCAGCCCCGGTGTGTAGAGCCAGACAGGATTTGTAGGGAGCTTGAAAGTTTCATTCCCACAGACACAAGGCTGCAGGCAAACACAGGTGCCATTTGCTTTGTTTTCAACAGACAAAGAGTGCACTAGGAAAGGAAAGCAATGGACTTAATCAAACGCAACTCTTTTTGTTTGTTTTCAACTGTTTGCTGTCACTTACTTTGTTCTGGGAAGCCTATTTATTTGTTCTCATCTGGCATTTCCCTCCAAGTGTTGAAACTCCCCTTGTTCCTGTAAAGATCGTGTAATGCTGCAGAGTTTGTTTTTCTCCTGAAACAAACTACTTACTGTTAGAGATGTTTCAGTTCCACTTCATCCACACTAACGTGAACCAGCACTGGCAAGATTCCTTTATACTAAGCAGTGTTATCTCAGCGCACCCGACTAAGTTGCATACAGAATAAATACTGGGCTTTTGTTCTGAGCAGGGGAGATAGCTGTGTAATGATCAATCAAAAAATGCCCTTGAGGATGAGAGAGATTAGCACTTTGATACTACTGAAGATGAATGGGTGAAATGAGCTTGGTAAGCTGGTGTTTTCCTCAGATAACTGCTTTGCAAGCTTTTTACAGCCTCTTGGATCCTCCCCTCACTCCTTTTGTCTCGGGATAGCACAACCAGTCCTACTGTCCTATCAGTAAGACTGGACAGAATGCTATTTTTATCGTTTTAAAATAAATAGCAGTGGATTTATGCCATACTTCCTCACTGAATATCAAACACTTAAATATTATCTATAACCTAACCACACTATTTCAGCTAGATTCTTGCTCTTTCAGCCAAAATGGCCTGTCCCTCAAGCACGTGTGCAACTGAGCACATATCAGCAGAGAAGGGACTGAGGGAATGTAGAAGACTCCTCATGGGATGTGGGCATCTTTCCCCCCTTACAACAGAATTTCATCCTTCAGAAGTCGCTCATATTTAGCGCTTGTGAAAGGGACTTCAGCCCACTGTCAAGAGACCAGCTACAAACTTCCTCTGGGCTTTCTGAACCCAATCCTGATCTCTTCCTCCTCCTGGATTATCTTGCACAGCTACCCCACAGGACACCCAAAGAGGAACTTCAATTGAAGCTGCAAAATGAAAGTCAAACTCACGTAGGTATGTCCATCTCTCTTAAGGTAAGAGGCAAATCCTCCTGGCATTCACAGACTGCTGGCATTTACTGGGCTAACTTATTCCTCCAATGAAACTGGAGCCAAGCAGTTTGACTGCATTTTTATTGTTCCACTGATTAAATGAATTTTAAATACAGAATTGAAAATCTGTAAAAAAAAAAAAAAAAACAAAAAAACCCAAAAAGTTATAAAAAGCCAGCATCCAGAAGCAGGTTGCACAACAGCGACTGTTTGAAACCCACATTTGTTCTTTGGTACAAAATTAGGGGAAAAAGAAAAGGATATCCATCACCCGGCAAGAGATGGTTTTTGTTATTGTTTTTTTGTTGTTGTTTTTGTTTTTACATTTCCGTGTATATTTGAGAATTGCTATTTGTCTTGTGAGGTTCTCCAAGCATGTTTATCACAGCACTGATTCACATTGTTTAGTGTTCAAAAAAGAAAGTAAACCCACAAAAAAAAAAAACCCCAGACTGCTGTTCACAGAAGCATCAATGCAGTGTTTTCCATCCAGTATGGTAGAAAAAAATTATAAAAAATTCAGCACATGATAGGTGAAGAGAAATGCAAGGATCTGCAAAGCTGCATTTTAGCATCTTTGAGCAGGAACAGGTTCTTCTGTCTTTCTTAAGACGCTATGACACATCAGGCATTTCCTAACATCTCTGGGATTTGCTCTTCACTGAGCTTCATCACTGCAACAGAGACTTCCAGAAGAAACAGGTGAAAAGGTACCTTTGATTTTTAATGCCCAATTTTAAAGCAGCTCCATGTTTTAAGAGACACGGAGCATCCAACCTCAAGGACAACAATCAGGGCCTTTTAGGGCCAATTTAAAAACAAGAAAAAGAAAAAAAGAAGCATCTCAAGAAGTCCTGACACTCCAGAACTGGAGTTCTGGGTTAGGGGTTGACAGGTTTTTTTCTTTTTTTATGCACTATTAGGTTCTTAAAAAGAATTACTATGAAGATGAGCCCTTTAGTCAGTGCATGTGCATCATTTTAACCAGAAATAACAAGCAGACTGACTCTAGTATATGCATAATTTCAAGACATCAGCATCACTCACACCATATTCACTACAGGTTAGAAGGAACAATCTATGGCTCACCTATTTCTCATGGATGCTTATAGCCAAGAGAGGTTACCACACAGACAGACAAACCAGAAAATGAAGTGCTTGGACAATAAAAATCAAAGCTTGGAGATAATGATACAATAATGAACAGGGATAGCTAAACATCAGCCTGAGGAATACAAACAGGTGGAGAAGCTCAGACTGCAATGGAAGTGAATTCAGTTGAACAGAAATAACACTGGAGCTTGTCACTAGTGCAGCTAGGAATTGGCAAACAAAACACTTTGAGTATACACTTGCAGGGCAGCCCTGCTTCTGCCACATGAATAAATATCCAACAACGTTTAAAAACAGTATAAAAAAGGGATGTCAGGATTCTCAGGTGCGCTGCGTGTTCTGCTCCCTGTGACTGCATAGCAGGATCCCTCATGTGAGGTATTTCAGCATTGCTGCAAAGGAGAACTATTTCTGCACTCCTCTCCCAGAAGTGAAGTCTCACTGGAGCTCAGGTCAGATGACAGCTATGCAATGACACAGTGCAAGTGGCCCGCTCTCCCTTTGGCTCTCTTCAGTCCACAGTGACCACACTGTGTGGGCTGAAAACAGAGTGGTAACCAGCTCAGTCTGCTACCCACCATGGTGTCCAGACGGATGGATGCACACACCTCTATTTCATCACACAGCTTAATTTTTGCTTTGACAGTCACGTTCACACAGAGCCCTCCAGAAAGAGGTTTTCATGTGGCCAGATCAGATTGCTAACCTCAGATCCTTCAGAATATTTCCTTGGTTAACTGTTTGATATATAGGTTGTCCACCAAAATGAATGCTTGTTTTATTCTGATCAAAAGCAACCTACACATTTGTTCTTGCATTACCACCAGACCTGTAAAGGACAGCTATCTCCCCATCCAACTGTACAGTTGAAAGGCTGCTATCCATCCCATATTGTTTTCCAGGGAAAGTCATTGTCTTGTGTTGCATAGATGTATTTAACTGCAGTTATTAAACACAGGATGTCAGCTTTATGTCCCACTTTTGGAAGCATCCTTTTTCAGTCTTCAGTACATAACAGTCTTATTAGTGAAACTCAGGATCACAGCTGCTGGTAACGTGCCACAGCCAGTCGTGGATCTCACCAGAAGTATACAATTAGTACCATGGCAGCATCAGATTGTCTCTCCTCCAAAATATAGGTGCGATCAAAAGAGCAAATCCAGAAGAAACAAATGTTTTACTATCTTCAAGAGATGCTGCTCCTCTTTGTTGTAGAACAGCTGTAGCTTCATTTGCAGGGTGTCTGGAGGGCTTTTTATTTATGAATAATTATCCCACAAATTCTACTACATAATGATAACTGATGCCTGTTACTGACTTCCCTGTTCACATGTGCGCTTTTGTACTCACAGCCAGCTGTCCTGGAAGTAGGAAATAAAACCATTTTTGCCTTTGAAGACACAAGCATTGTCCAGGTCTGTGACTGTACCAGGAACATCTCTATGGCTTTCTCTCGTCTTCCAAAAACTTCAGCCATATGCTGTGTTGCTTGTGTTTCCCTTAGAACATCCGAGGATATGATGGGTTTTGCTTAATTACCCACTCAGCATGCGGATTGATATGATACAAGTCTAAGAGGTAAGTGTCTGGATCCAGACAATGTTCACCTATAAGAACAAGAAATACAGGAAAAAAAAGCATTTCTTATCTTCTTAGTCCCACTGTTACTACTTTTTCCCCCTAAAAACTGGTATTTGTCCACATTCATATTAACACTACAACCATTCAGAAGTGCTTCAACAGATCTGACAAAGTTCCAGTTCTTTATATTGAAATGGATGTGTATTTCTTAAAACTATTCTAAGTCCAAGCTTCAATTGGTGAAAGGTACTCCAATACCCAATCATTCCAGCACGTAAACAAATCCAGTAGCTGAGACTAAGCTGTTTCCAGTATGATGGAGTTTTCCTTTCACAGATACTGTTACGAGAAATACTAAGAGGTGGAAAAATCACTCCAGTAGAGAACAGTCTTTGGAACCAGCTACAACAGGACATAGGAATTCCCTTCTACTTTCAGACCTCCCTAACCTGCTGCTGTTACAATCACATTAAAATTTCCTTTCCATTTGATGATGTTACCCTATTCCCAGAGGAAATCAATGACTAATGAGCATCATCAGCTTTGAGAAGCTTCCACCCAACTCATTTTTAAGAAGCTTGCACCCAAGCTGGTACTTTTGCAAGAAAGTTTATTGATAACGGAAGGCGTGTTGGCTTTGTAAAGGACAGTTGCTCTTTGCCATAGGTGAGGTTAACCCACATTTGCTCCCTTTTCTTCTAACTTTCAGAGGCCCCTCCAATTCTCATCATTTTCCAGAACTCTCTCCTACCACAGGCTAGACATAAAAACCAGGTATCAAAGAGGTTATTTCCAGTTATCACCCAGACTCACCAATATTGCCTCCCACTTCATATAGGAGCAGGTTTGTGCACTCCATGGAGTTGTTACTGCAGAAAGAAAAAACACCCTGAAGTTAACAAAGCTCCGTGAGAGGCAAGTTAGGTCGTTCAGTAATGTTTCTTCCAAAGCAACTGCTCACAGTGCAGAGGTCAGCAATGGTCAAGGAAGCTACAATTCTCTGCAGTACAGCAACCTTGTCAGTCCTCCTGAAGCATGCAGCTAACACCCAAAGTTGTGCACAGAAAAAGTCAGATGTTGGTAATGAGAAGCATGTTACATACAAATGCTTTCCAACAAGATAAAAAATGTCAACATTCATTGGCAGCATTCCTTCACAGCCAATGGCCAGATCAAGAGAATCTCATCTACAGAAGACTTGAGTAGCTATTGCAGCTTCTTACTGAGATCCCAGCTACCAGCTGACCCATATTCAGCCAACTCCCCATACACTCTCTCTGTCAGGATGTCTGCTGCCCAGCAACACAGTCAGGGGATGCACTGACACTTTACCTATTGAATACTGTCTGCATGCCCAATGGCTTGAGAAGTTGTTTTGTTCACTTGTTGGGTTATTTCAGCAATTCATCATTGGAGCACAGGAGGGAACTGTAGACTCCCTTTAGGGAACCCATACATTAACCCGTGCACGCTGGAAATACTTTTGCAGGCAACTAATGTGCCCAGGTGATGTTTTACTCTAGGAGACTAAAGAGGGTTTCTTTTGCAGAGTCAATGTTATCCCACTTTTCTTTCTCCCCACAAAGCTTTTCACATACTGCAGCTCACCTGCCTTGCAGCAGAGCAGGAAGGACCACCACCCTGCTGTCAGCTTGAGCACAGTGATGGGACCACTCAGCTGAACTAATATTTGCCTGCCCTACCCAATACACCATTTATAAAACAGAGAGCAGTCTAACAGCTCAATGTGTCACCACATTAGCTCTACTAGAAGGCAGAAAATACAGTCACTACATCACCTGATACTTATATATTTTTAATAAGCAGAGAAAAAGCAACTTGCCACTTGAGGAGGTTGACCGTGTTAACAATATTCCAGCCATTCTGGCACAGGTTCTTCTGAAACTGCTTCAGGACATCAGCAACTCTTGTAGCATTGTTCAAATGCACTTCTAGGGAATCCTTCAGGAGAAGCGAAGCGTGGACTTTCACAACCTTGGAAGGCTGAACAAGGAAGGCAGAACCAAAGAGAATAAAGTGCTTAAAAAAAACCCACTTCATTGTTGGCAAAACCATCAAGTTTCAAAGCAGACTGGAGAACGTGAAGAATGAAATGCACTCAGCCAGCTTTTCAGAGCATTTATGTTTGCTTATTTCACATACCAGAGAATGGAAGCATCAAGGTGAGCATTATAAAGGAACCAGTTTACCAGCGTTGTGGTCGGGGAGCAAAGCACTGATCTCGATCAGTGTGTTTTGGTGCTCTCTGCTGTTCAGATGCAGTACTGGCACTTTGATAGAAATAGATTGGTCAGAATATACTTTGAAAACCTGTTTTCCATTGCCTGATAGATTTCTCTGTAAATTTTAAAAGCAGGAATAGGAGCTTAGGGAGTAGAACAGTCTTACAGACTATTTTAGAACCAAAGGTAATTTCAGAAGGGAAATACTGAACTGCTGCAGAACAGAGTGTCATTCTGTCACAACCATTTTCACCAGCTCTTCCACGAGCCACCTGTTCAAAGCTTTTGTACAGAACACTGAACCATTTCAATTGGGTCTGGTCTGGTGCAAGATAATTTTGCAGTTCTAGATCTTCTGTAAAAACAGCACTGCACACCAAAACAATTAAGAAGCACTGCTAGCACAGCTCCAAGCACAGAGTCATCCGCTGGGTACCTAAACTGTATTTTCCCTCAGCAACTTCAAGAGTGATGTGTGCCTTTAGCCAGGCTACCTGGGGGCATACTTCTCAGTCTGCCAAGTGGTACAGAAGGGTGGCAGATGTATTGGCTTCTGAGAATACAAATTCTTCTTCAGCTCTGCAGATTTGAACCCTCCACGTATTACTCCTACTTGCAGGCTTCATCTTTCTCACCTCTTTAGATGTCCCATCATCACCACCACTGCTACTGATACCTACAATCCAGCACTGCATAATGTAAACTAGCTATTACAGACTCTAATTCAAATAATAGCATCAATCAAAAATAACAACTGATATTCAAATAGATCTGGAAGCAGCACCCATTTAAAAGCCTCAGTTGGCACCAATGCAAGAGGTGGAATACAGCAGTTTCACTTCTCTAAAAAGAGAAGAAACATTCTCTAACTCCTCCATACAGATAAGCAGCATGATGGAACAAAATGATTCAAAAAGTCTTTCGTTCTTCTCCTGAGAATATGCAGCACCTTGAGTGCTTTTCAGTCTGAAATGCATCCGAACAGCAGGCATAGTGAATCAGTTTTTGGTGGGTACAACTCGGGCTGAAGAGTTTGGAAGCTTCTTCTCATGGTTCTGCAGATTTTTCTCCCTCTTGCTATATACAAAGCGTCACTCCTTAAAGTTTCCCATGCTCTCATGAAAGGATTTTAAAGAGAAAATATTTGTCACTTATGAAAGGAACCAGTTTTTCCAAGTCTTATCTCACCTCCGCTTGATTCTTTTCCACTTTGTCTTTATCAGCGTGAATCTTCCGCAGCAGATTTTTTAACCTTTTGTCACAGAACTGATACCTTTTACTATTGCTCTCATTGAGTTTTCTCACTTGAGCTACCAGAAAAGAGGAGACCTGGGCAGCAAAAAAGGGAGAAAACAAGAATTAAAACAAGCCAAACAGAGATGTGAATGCCATTAAAAAAAACTCAGTCATCACTTTATGAAGCTCCTTAAATAGACAAAACATCCACACACCTTGAAAACAGGTAGCCTTGGACAGGTTTGGTCTGCAAACATTTAACTCCTCTAGAATTTCCAATAGTACCCTTTCCCCTAAGCCCAGTTCCAGCCAGAACACCACACTGCTGCATCATACTGCAAAGCACTCATGCAACTCACTGTCCAGAGCAAATCCTGATAATGGATCATCATCCGCACAACATCAGCTGCCCCCTCTGCCAGCTGTTTCTCCTTCCCTTCAGGAATCTTGTTTGGCAGCCCTTTGTGCATGAAGAGGTTTGGGGCCATGACTGTGGAAACGTTCCAGAGATTCATTTTGTTGTTGTTCTCCCTGGAAACTACTTTGCTGAGAAATTCAAGTAGAGCCTAAAGAGAAGGGCAGAGACTCAAGTTATTCATTCCTAATAACACCCAAGAAATTAAAGTTGCAATTGCTGAGGAGAACATCCAGTCGTTATGTTTTCTAGAAACTTTGAGAAAATCCAATTCTCTACACAGGAAGCACAGTAGCCAATTTCTAATACTAGGATAACAACAAATAGCTAAACTAAGCAGGGAGATAGTTTGTCCAGCACTCATGAACCAGAAGAGATGGCATGTTTGGGAAACAGATATGTTCTTATTTCTTAACTAGTGGCAATTTACAGACTCCAGTTGTAAAACTTATAGAATCCAAAGAAAAGCCTCTCTTCCTCCAGAATCCTCCTAAGTAATTCCCAGATGTGGAAAAAAAATCCCTTTGGATCACACCTCTTCTGTCCCACACCTTCACCAGAGCTATGATGGACATCAGGTCATCTTTGATGGTATCATGTATTCCAGCTCTCTAGCCTTTGCAGGGTGCTAAGTCAGCCTTGGCATCGTTATCCATAAGTTGAACCACTCAGCAAAAAGAAAGCAGCAACAAAAAGAAGCCACACAGTTCTTATCCAACGCAGTACCATAGAGATCCTGCTCTGCCTGCAAAGCTAATCCACCAGCAATTATTCTCCCAAAAAGCAGTAGGAAAACAGGTTTGAAGTGTGTCCTGATCAAAAAAAAAAAGGCTAAGAAGTTATAAACTATACAGGTTTTTTTTGATTTTAAGGGAAACTGCAATTGTGATGGAAAACAGCAACAGCACAAAGCATGAATCAGAAGACTGAATCTCCTCCCCTATATCTTAGTGTATCACAGACAGTACAAGAGCTATACACCTTCCACTCCATATAGAAGGGCTTTAGTACACTGAGGAGGAGGAGTACAGTTCCAAACATGGTGTAAAAATCCCTCCAAGACCACACAGGCTCCCACTGCTCTTCTGTTTGCACCCAGAAGGCAGATGTGCTACAGTTTATGTTCACTGCCCAGCCTGGAGACCTGCCTGCTGCCCAGATCCCTGTTGCCCTATCACAGGTTTGCATTTCAAGTCAGTGAAATGAAGCCTAATAACTTAATGTACATTATCTATATCCCCCTTTTTAAGAGCTGATAGAGATCTGAGAATGAACACACGGAACAAGAACATGGATTTTCCAGTTAAAGAACATGGATTTTCCAAATGGAGGCCAGTAACGAGTGGCGTCCCCCAGGGGTCTGTCTTGGGACCGGTGCTC